GTGTTTCTTTTTTTGTACACAGAGAATAAGGAATTTCAGAATTTTTACATACATTTTAGCAAACAAGTTTTGATCTATTGGCTTCTTGGTGTAGTAATGCAACGGCAATCCATTCTGGTGCCGAAGGCCCACACCATTACAAGGAAGTTGTGAACACTAATTTCTTAGGAGGTGAGGCCAGCCCCACATTAACTTCTCTTGCATCCCTCTGGTCCACCATGATTCACAAATACTTAGACTTTTTTCCCCTCAAATGAATCATTAGAGTGATGTTAAAAATGGAACAACAGAGTCACAAAGGGCAACATGCTTTTCAGTATAAAGCATTCTCCTTCACTAGGTTGCTATCACAGTGCAGACCTGACTGCCTGAATATGCTCAGGAGATTTAGTCAATATTGTCTGTATTTGGTTATGGAAAAGGCTCTCCTTTTTTTTTTTTTTTTTTAATCCAAAGTGCATAGTGAGAACAAATCAAAGCATTTTTTTTCCTTTTCAGCATCAGTTTCATCTAAGCATCTTCCTACAAGAGGACTGCTCAGATGCCTTGCCTTTGTCCTCCCCACCCTCCAAAAATAAAAAAATAAAATAAAATAAAAAATAATAAGAGAGTCAAGCAATTTAAACATTCATCAGCCTGGTAAACAAACTTTGCCAGCAAATAGAAGTCCTACTATTGTAAAGAAAATTGATAAGACAAAAAGTACATATGATGACCCAACTACTGTGTTGTTGGGTAATTTATAAGGTTGACCTCCGACTTCATTGATGTAAAATCCTATTGGAAATATTAGGGCAGCCATACAGAAAAGGATCACTGTAAAACAAACCAAAACACAACATTAGTAACATGGTTTGGTGATTAAAAAAACAATGAAAATCTGCCAAAAAGGAAAGTTTATAAGAAGGTGTGTGGATTGATAACATGGTCAAACCTGTTAAAACATGGACCGCTTGTCAAAAGATTTGCATATATTACAGGTCACATAATATCCCTGAAGTCTAACAATTAAATACAGTAAAAGCCAGATTAGCCTTTTACATAAGGTTTGGGACAATTTCAAATATCAGGATTAAGAAAGGCCTTCTCCAAACCTACTAAGTACTCACATATACTATTCCTAACTATTTAGAATAGTAATCAAGGGCAATAGCCAGAGTCAGACAGGGGCTAACTTCTGGCTCTACTACTTACTAGCTGTGTAATATTAGGCCTCTGGTTCCCTTTTGAAAACGGGGGAAATACTGGAAGGATAAATAAAATAAGGTCAAGTCCCTGACACAGTGACAGGGACAGTGACAGTTAACAATAAGTGCTGAATAAATGTTGCATACTATTATCACTATAGTTATTCTGGTACTTCTCTGTCCATCTCAGTATTAGTTAGAAGGAATTGGAGAAAAGGTACAGACAAATAAGTATCATTTATCTTACTCTGATTTGAAATCAGCTGGTAGAAAGAACCTCAAATCTCTAGGATGATTAGTAAATTGTCAGAATGGTTATTTCTTAGCATGGACAATATTCCAAAAAATAAAATCTCTCAAGTTTCTGAATATACAGAGAGGTTAAGGTAGGGGAGGGTGGGAAACCTTTTTTGAGTTTTGTATATAAACACGATGAAATATATTATTTGCTAAAATGTTTCTAGAAAGATATCAGAAAATCCAATGTCTGGTTAGAAGTAATTCCACAGACCAATGTTGTAGCAAACAGTGTGCTCCCCATGTTACCAAATGCTCTTTTTAGTGAATGAAAATTACCTACAGATAGGCTAGCCTTTTTTTTTTTTGGCTTTTTGAAAGCATATTGTTCAAATGTTCATAATCCTTCAAATTTCTTTGGAGGCAGAAACCTTTCTGCAATGTAATGTGAAGACAGATTACTAGTCACTGAATATGAAGAGATGAAGCTTTCTATTATTAACTGAGTAAGAAACCTCTTACTAGTTAAACGATCTCCAGGAATACTGACAGAGTACTGGATAAATATATCAATTGACACTTGTCTCTACATTTTTTGTGAGTTAATCAATCAACAACATTTAATATGAGAGTCGTTAAAAAGCCAATTAGGAATTCTTTCCTGGAAGGAATATCTCTAGCCAATATATTAAAAACTAAAATTTGCTTAAGCAATACACCAGCTTAAAAAACACACCAGCAGGGCGGGCGCAGTGGCTCATGCCTGCAATCCTAGCACTCTGGGAGGCCAAGGCGGGCGGATTGTTTGAGCTCAGGAGTTCGAGACCAGCCTGAGCAAGAGCGAGACCCCGTCTCTACTAAAATTAGAAAGAAATTATTTGGACAAGTAAAAATATATAGAAAAAAATTAGCCGGGCATGGTGGCGCATGCTTGTAGTCCCAGCTACTTGGGAGGCTGAGGCAGGAGGATGCCTTGAGCCCAGGAGTTTGAGGTTGCTGTGAGCTAGGATGACGCCACGGCACTCTAGCCCGCGCAACACAGTGAGACTCTGTCTCAAAAAAAAAAACAAAAAACAAAACACCAGCACTCGTTTGTTTTGCACCATTTAGATAGATTATTTTATATTATATGTAGAGTCTATTTCAGTTTAGGCAAATGACCACATCAAATAACATTATATAAGTGAACATGGATTTCTTCAGATAACTACTGTAAAACAAATGAAAAATTCAGGCATAAAGTTTTAGAGTTTTTTGGACTTTTTGTTATACAGTTAGCAACAAATAACTTTATTAAGGCTGCCAATCTGTGTTATCTGTCACCAATTTCTAATGGTTCTTATGGCTTAATATGGTTTGGTGAGATAAAACCCCTATCTAGCTACACATGATCTAAGAAAAAAAGGGACAAAATTTTTGTTTTAAAAACAATTTTTTCTTATGTTTGACTAATGTAATCTCAAGAAACAAATAATTTAGAAGAAAAGTGCTTTAACAATGTGTGGATATTAAATTTGTTCACTGTTAATTGATTTGCCAACTTTACTCCCATTGTTTCCTATTTTCTTTTTTTTTTTTTTTTTTTTTGAGACAGAGTCTCACTGTGTTGCCCGGGCTAGAGTGAGTGCCATGGCGTCAGCCTAGCTCACAGCAACCTCAAACTCCTGGGCTCAAGCGATCCTCCTGCCTCAGCCTCCCGAGTAGCTGGGACTACAGGCATGCGCCACCATGCCCGGCTAATTTTTTCTATATATTTTTAGTTGTCCTATTAATTTCTTTCTAATTTTAGTAGAGACGGGGTCTCGCTCTTGCTCAGGCTGGTCTCGAAATCCTGAGCTCAAACAATCCGCCCGCCTCGGCCTCCCAGAGAGCTAGGATTACAGGCGTGAGCCACCGCGCCCGGCCCATTGTTTCCTATTTTCTACTGTAAAATAAAAATCTATGCTTTATAATGGAGTAAGCTTTTAGTGACTATAAAGTACAATATTTTGAAGAGTTAAATATTTTCCAAATTAGTTAGAAAAAGCTTAATCATATTTTAAGGGTACAATGAAGTCCTTTTTAGTCTAACCTTGGTTTTAAATCCAAGGAATTAGGTTCTCTACACTTCCTGGGGAGCAGATTTAATGTAGGTAGATGACTTTTTCTTTTAAGATATTGTGACCTATGAAGTTGCTTTAGATCTTAAAATATTATTAATGCAGATAATATCTGTCAACCTTTGAAGATTAAGTTCTGGGTCCTAAATAAGCTTGTAAAGCCATAACTTTGTATCTTTCATGGCACAGATTTCTTGGTGGTGAGAGTCAGGTATCAGGTGTACTGACAGATTAAGTTGTAAATCAGGGTGGCAAAGGAAAGAACAAGGGTCAGACTTGAAGAAGACTCATATTTGCTTCTCCTGCCCTCATAGGCAAGTCCCATCATGGGGGACTCTACTCTGAGACGTATTTTCCCACTGTGCACAGCCATCAGAAAATATTACCTTCACATTATTATGAAAACTATAGCTTAACTGGAATAGGAATATATACAATAGAGATAAAGTATTAATACATTTTCAAGAGCTGAATAGACTGAATAGAAGCACTAGGGGGAGCCCAATCCCCCTAAGAACTGCCACCCAACCAGACTAGCTCTGGTAACAAAAACAATGTATTAAGAAAGCTAAGAAGAGTAAGGTAGCACTATGCTTACTTAAATGAAATTAACTCCAAGATATACGAAGTTAAAAAACCATATAGAATAGCAAAAAAAATTTATATAAATATTTATAGAACACACACACACACACATATGTTTCTATGTACAGAACACCTGTAGAAAGAAACCCCAGAAACTCGTAACAATGGTTGCCTCTAGGAAAGGGGTTATTGGATGGCTGGGTGACAACGCCACACATGAGCCTTTTCACTTGGTTATCCTTTCATAGGCTTTGACTTATGTATCATATGCATATATTATTTCAAAAGTTAAATTATTTAACTAAAAAAATAAAGGAAATTTATTTTGGCGTTTGGGGGCAACTATAAAAATATTCTCTGTTGAGCAATGAAAAAGATAATCCTAGTTCTTCCCCTTTATTGGGTCATAAGAACGAATAGTTCATGTGAGCATCTTAATGCTTTCTTTGACTCATTCTACTTAGCTAAATTATATTTTAGATCCTTGGTATTCAGAGGATATGCATCCTCAAATTTCAACTAAATCCAGAAAGTAAATCCTTCTTTGATATTATTTTACTCCTTGAAGAGTGAATTCTTTCGGGATAAGTGATTGTATCTGTGAGTAAAAGATAAAGAATTTCTCTTTAAAATCCTCATCAATACACTCAAATTTAACAGCACTGTCTCTACAACTACTTCTAGACCCTACTCTCCAGAAAAGAACTGTCTCAGGGGGTCTGTTTGATAGCAGAAAGATCATCAACTTGTTTCACACTGTGTAACAAGGATGGAGGAGCTTTTTTTATGTCAAAGGCAATTTGATCTAAATTTAAAAATTAAGGGTGATATAGTGACAAAAATAAACAGAGTCAGAAACATACACATTAAAGATAAAGTTTCACAGAGAGACAGGGAGAAACAGACTCATGAAGAAATATCACTATCCTACAGCCTTTAATGATAAACTAAGTTTTAATTTTAACATCAATAGGGATACAAAGGATTATTCCTTATCCCAATCATACTAGTTCTAAAGGAAAATATCAAGTGAAAGTGAGCTGTGGTATAATACTCATTTTAAAAAAAACTTATGTAAACCTGAGATGATTTTAATACACTGAATTAAAAGTTAAGTCTCACAGTATTTTGCATATGTATTGTTATATTGTTTCTTTACAGCAGGGTTTCTCACAGTGCACTATTGCTACTTTGGACCAGATAATTCTTTGTTGTGGGGAGCTATACTGTGAATTTTGGGGATATTTAGTAGCAGCCCTGGCCTCTATACACTAGATGCCAGTAGCATCCCCTATCAACATTTGTGACTATCATTTGTGATTATCAAAAATGTTTTCAGGCCAGGTGTGGTGGCTCACGCCTGTAATCCTAGCACTTTGGGAGGCTGAGGTGGGAGGAGCACTTGAGGTCAGGAGTTTGCTCAAGTGAGTTACAGTGAGCTATGATCATGTTACTGACTCTAGCGCAGGGTGACAAAGTAAAAGCCTGTCTCAAAAAAAAGGGAGGGAGGGAGGGAGGGAAGGAAGGAAGGAAAGAAAGAAAAAGAAAAGAAAAAAAAGTTTTCAGATATTGTCAAATGTCCCCTGGGGTATAAAACTGCTTTAGAGAGAAAGAAGCAAGAAAGCAGAATTACAGAAATATCTTTTCTTTTTGCATTTTGTTTCTTTTAACTTGAGGTAAGTTTGTGATGTGTTCTGAAATTAAACCAATTTTGGAAAGCACAACAGAACGTATAATATACAAATTTATCACACCCTTGAGCATAGCTTAATGGAGTAAGAAATGTTGATAATTATTAAATAACCAAATGTGTTGATTTTTCAATGGTTATACAACATACAGCAGAAACTCAAAATCAATGATATTAAACAGCATATCACCACCTTCATCCAATTTATATTTTTTATGTATTTTTTTCTAGATTTATCTTTATTTTGATAGCAGACACCAATATCTTCAAGAAGAGGAAAAGACTCAGACTAGTGATGGGTCTGTGTCACAAACCTGGAATACGTATGTCACAATCTGAACAAAAATAAAATTCAATAAAATACCATTTCATACAAAGCAATTAAGTTGTGGATGTCCAGGTCTTGTAAGAGTTTTGAAGAACTGATGGGACTGTGTAGAGTCTATCTCACAGCCATATGCCAGTGGTGTTCTTTGATGATTATGGAGTCCTTATGACTGATTCTTGGTTATCTTCATAAAAATACCAGTGTGTGTGCCTTCTAGACAAATTTAGTAAGCATAGGTTACTTACTTCCAGTGAATGCTATCCATCGAGCATATTTTGTAGCTTCTCTTCGCCAGTGGGAAGCCACCAGCAAACCACATGTGACAGTCAATGAAATGATTCCCATGATGATAAAAAACAGTGTGGTGACCCACTCCGGAGGAAGCCGGGGAGGGATGCATGTCCGGTCTCGTCCATGGATTGTTTGACACTGTCGCACAAGGCCCACAGTGAGTGCTCCTGAGGAGATGCAAAAGGTGGGAATACTTTAGTGGGTTTGGGGTACCCAGGGAATATTCCCCACCACTACCCCTTTAGTCCTTAAATCCTATTTGTCTCTTCATGGATCATTCAAGCACTTAATTCACCTGAGTCCTACTCTGCGGTAGTCCATAATGTAGTAACACTTGGCTGAACATACAAAGTGAACTTAAAAACAAACAAACAAACAAAAAAACCCAACCTCACAAAAGCCATAAAAGGCAGTTCATTCAGTTATTCATTAAACAAGTACTTTTCTGAGTACTTATGTCAGGCATTGTTCTAGGCTCCAGGGAAATAACAGCGACCAAAATGAACTTCCTGCCCTTGCTGAGCCTGCACACTAGTTTAACGAATTGAGTTTTTTCTATTCTCAGATCCCAGATCCAAGACTCATTGTATATTTGATTTATTTTGGATGAGGAGAAAAAACTAGTAGGATTCCCCCCTCCATTTGGTGAGTTCACCATTTTTGTGCATTGTACAAGTGTACATTGTCAAACAATTACTGTCATGCTTCAACAGAAAAGCACAAAGGCAAATTACAAAGGTAATTTTAAAGTATCCCCCCCATTTAAATAACATCAATGTGATTTTTGTAAAACATCAAGTATTATTTTTCCATAAACATGTTCTCATGTCAAACCCAAGGACACCTCTCTATCAATTTGGGGGGACTTTATAAAAACTTAGATCAGAAATATGAAAGAGCAATTATTTCTCTTCTTCCTCACTTAGAAGAATGATTAAAATGTTACTTCTGAATAAAAACTGCTTGTTTTCCCTTGCAAGGGCAACTGCAAATGGGAAAAGAGTTACCAAAAATACAGAAACAGAAACTTCAGGAGCCATGGAAAATACAATAGTTTTTTTGGGAGGTCTTTTTTTGGTCTGCATTATTTTCTCAATATGAACACAAATTAAAAATAAAAAGACACTGACCTCAAAATCATAGCACTTGCCACAAACAAGCACCTTCTATGAGGATAGTCAATTGCTAAAATTCCTAGAGGCATTTTGGGAAGCTGCCTTGATGGGAGAAGACAGAGCAGGGCCGGATCTGTGTGTACAGATTAGATGCACAGGGGTGGGGTGGAGGGGTTTGCTGTTGGAGGGAGGGTTTTTTTCCTCAAACTTGCTTGCCGTTTGCCATTGATACATCTTTAGAAACAAAGCAACATGTTGAAAGAAAATGAAATAAGAAATCAATTCTGCTCTCAAACTTGAGTTGGAATTTTTCCCCCCTCTAATGCTAACTCTATCTGACCATGACTTTAAGTAGAGTGGAAGAAGATAAATAAACAAGCTGCACTTTTTCTCCCAAATCATCTAATAATTAGGTCCATCTGGTGATCCCTGCATAAGTGTAAACAGCATTGTAATTATGGGGTTGTCAGAGGCAGGATGAAGGCAGATAGGGGACAGAAAGGGACCAAACCTTCATGCCACACACTAAGCCTCCCGTGAGCTGAGAGATTTCATAGGCCAAAGACAAGTAAAGCAGTAAAAATTTTCTGACACTATTGCTAACCTTTAAAGTTTCATGGTAACTGCTTGAAACCAGAAGAGGGGATAAAGTAGGGGTGAATAGGCATCAGGGAATTGCTTGTTCTTAAATTGAAACATTAAAAGTCCTTGAAAAGAAAACTTGTGGTGGAGGGAGTGTCTAATTATGATAAAACATTTTATTGTAATTTTGGAAATAAAGAAGGCATTCAAAGCAGTGCCCAAGAACTCCTAACAGGAAACTACTTCTGATCATTGAGCAAAAGACTTCTAACAAATTACCCTCTTACAGTCACTATTCCACATTTATAAAAGTTGTAACTGCTATAAGAATAAACTATAGGCAATGAAAGACCCTCTGACAAAATGCAGTATTACAGATTCTTATTATAGCAGCAACTTTCTTTACATCTTAATTTAACATACAAGAAAGTTTTATTAGTAACTGTATGTATCTAGCGGACTTAGATTTACACTCAAGAATTATTTTTTGCTGGCAAATATTAAACATTATACAGTCCGTAAATCATAAATAAAATCTCTCTCCTTCGAAATATTTCTGAGTATCATTATGTTGCCTCTCTTATTCTCCCTTAGCAATAGGGATGAAATTTAACTTAACCTTCTGTGCCTGTGGATTGTTAAGCTTTATGAGTAGGATTGTTATTTTTCCTCCTCTCCTGTCTAGCATACCACACTAAGTAAATACAAACAAAACAAGAAAATGAAAATTATAGCTATACTTCCTACAAACAAACTGGAAATAACCTGACAGATGTTCAGCTTTAAAAGAAGAGCTATGCTCCTGTATTTATTTTTTTACTTTGTTAGAGACAGGGTCTATGTTGCCCAGACTGGCCTCAAGCAATCCTCCGACCTTGGCTTCCCAAAGTGCTGGGATTACAGGTATGAGCCACCATGCCTGGCCAATGCTCCTGTATTTTTAAAATTCCATATCACAACAAATCAAGATAAAATATTCAGCAGCTCTATTCTGGAAGAAAAGAAAGCTAATGCTAACTGACAAGCAGAAGGAATATTTTATATGAGTAAATCAATACACAATATTTTATTGAGTGTCTATGTGCTCAGCGTTGTTGTAGCAGTTAGAGATTCCAAAACTAATGCTCTGTCATGCATTTGGTGAAAACAGACTTTCCTTAAATACATTATACAAGGGCCAGTGGAAACAGTGATTGGTCAACACTGTTGTTCAAATTCATTCGTTTGTGTAAGACTCTAAAATCAACAAAATTTATTTATATCATAGTCACATATTTTCCATAAGCTAACTGGGGAATCTGCAAGGGTAACTGTGCTGCTACTATTAAATCTTGTAAATTTAGATACTGTTTGTACACAAACTTTCACCAGGCCTTTAAATTTCATATTTTACTTTAATGAATTACTTTCTGCCTGTAGATTCAAATCCATCACTCACATTGATAATGAAGATCTTTTACTTCCTCCAAATTGTCTTAACACATTTAGCCTATATCACACAATCAGGTACTTGATTTTAAGGTAGCGTCTTTTTACCCCAAACAGGACATGAACTTTTCAGAGACGGAACTGCACGTTCTACTTCACTAGAAACCCCAAAATGGCCTGTAGCAGTGGAATTAATAAGCATTTGGTGAGCTTAAAGGAATTAAAAACAAGCTAAATTTAAGATCACACTGCATTAAATAGGTTCTCCTGTAGAGCCATCTTACTCAGTGTGGTTTTCTGCAGCACACTTATTAAGCATAAGCTCAGCCATTCACTGATTTTTGTTTTATCCAACAGGTCTTTTTGCCCCTTGAAGAGGCCAGTAAGTTCATTCCCCAAACAGCCAATCCATCTTTACCCCGTAGCTGTTTCCTAGGTAACCAATCCAGCCATATAAAAGTTATACACAATAGGAAAAAGGAAACCAAACTAGAAACTATAGCACACCACATGCCTCTCAGATTCTCACCTGTGTATCATAATATACAAAAGTAAAAGTCATAATGAGTCTTACGCCACTAAGTAGGGGTATCTTAAGTAGTTTTTGACACCCATCATCTGTAGATCCAGACACTGCTGAAATGATTTAACACAGCCAGTCTGAGCATGTCTGTTGCCACAATGAGGATGATTGTAACGCATGTGATCACTACATGTGAAAACAGTGTCACAGTAAATCTGTAACACAGGGGTTGTAAAGCAGAGAAGCACATAGCCACCAGAGTCTGTCAGAGCAAACCATGTGAAGTGCTCATCAACCTGGCCAGAGAGTTTTCCCATGCAGGGTTAGACCTGAACAAAAATGGTGAAGGTAAAATTTGCTATTGCCTTCTCCTATGTCCCCTTTAAGTTTTCCTCCAATCCGCAATGTTCTCTTCCTCTCATGGGGCTCTCCTGTCAGCTCTAGGTACTGTGATCTGGGCTGGCCGATCCCTACCATCAATGTGGATCTCCAGCTCTATTTTTTCTGTGGGGATATAAAAATCTGTTCTTGGCAAGCTATCTTCATTAGTTACAGAGACCAAACAAACACCTTCCCACAGATGTCTTAGTGACTGATAAAGGCTTAACATACTCCCTTCCCAAGAGCATTTGTATTTAAGCAAGGGACAATATTCCAATTGAACTAAGAGAGTTTCATGTTTTCGTGATAGGCTGGCTGAAAAAATTTAGGAAAACTGGAGGAAAGATGAGGAGGGGAGGGGAATAGGAAGGGGGAGGGCCCCAATGTAGGCAGTGATGCACACCTCCCCAGGTAAGTCATACTCCAGAAGCTCATCCTTTAAAGTAGATGCGTAAGCACAGAAAAGGATAGCCTATAGGTAACTTAAAAACTTTACATACTTAAGTTTTTCCTCCAGGAACATAGCTAGTGGTGATGATTTTTATCTGCCACGATTTCTGGTTCCTACCTTAGGGTGTAGGTGAATATAAATGGTGAACTGACCACAAAGAGTGAACGGGTAAAACAAAGAACCTTAATGAACCACACGTGGACAGTATCTGAAAACCTGAGTAACATAATAGGTTGAGGCTAAGTCTTAGTGTCCACTATAGTAACCGCATTCCCTCCTGTTACCCTTATCCGTTCTTACACCTCCCTGGCATTTCTAGCCACTGACTGTAGACCTCAGTTCTCACTTTCCTATCGTCTTCACTTCTTTCCCTATCTGGACTAGAGTCCTTGATCCATCATATTACCACCTTTTATCCCTTCACTGCACCCACCTGGCAAAAACCATAGCCCTGATTCAATAAAAATTTCTCCCTTCTGCACTTATCTTCAGGCTGCTGAATGCTGATGGAGAAAATCTTATATTAGAGCAGAGGGGTGCCACTGTAAATTTCTAAATTTCAATCTCAGGGCCATCACCTCTGTCCAGAAACTAGTTAGGTCCCTAATTCAGCACCTCCCCCTTCTTTACTGTGTCTATTCCAAGTCTCCTGCACTCTCCTTAAATATCGTAACTATCTACCACCTC